ACATACAGTGAGTAAGAAATTCTCTCTTGTATGGCTATGCACAATTACAAAGTATTAGCGAGACCCTACTAATTCTGTATATGTAAAAAGAGAATATATGCTATTAATGTAATTGATAGCTGTCTAATGCATTTTAGAATTTTTAAAAATGATTCATCACTCAGTCGATTGAGATACTAACATGGAGTATGTTAAAAACCATTTTATGGAATGATCCACGAATCATTACGTTTGCCCGAATATTGTGTAATTTATTTTGTTGTTGACGTGAAAACGAGACCTTTGTGGGAGAAATATATAAATTATTACTCAAAATGAAGTATTATGCAGGGGAGTCAACAATATCAAAACGAAGCAAGCGACGAAGAAAAACAAAATATTTCCAAAGGATTAGGACTAGCACGTGTCTAAATCACGTTCTCCTTCTGCCACTACCACTCTGATAGGCTCATAATCCACTAGTTTTATATACCTAGTTAAGAGAACTAAAATGTGATTATGAATCATGCATGAACAAGCACATATCGTAAGAGATCTAGCGAGGAAGTGATGCATTAATTTGTACAAAATGAGTCATGAATAGTACTCTTCTAAGTTGAGATAATCAGAAGTGAAACGGATTCATGTTTTGGACAGAATGCTAAACACTTATGAAGTTATGATTAAAGGTTAAACCCACTAAATTATACGGAGGTTTACTAAAACAATTTTAAAAAATAGTTTTTTGAAATTACTCAAACAACCTTCAAATATTTATTATACCCGTTTTAGCCTTATTTTATTTGAAGACAAAAAACGTATTTATGAAACTGCCATTAATGAGGTAGCAAAATTTTTTTGCCAATAGCGAATAAGTCTACCGTCTATGTGATGGTAAATTTATTTGCGATTGGTAGATTTATTAAGTGGTAGGTAGACTTATTGATGGTTTGCAATCGTAGACTTATTTATAATAGTGGTAGATTTATAATATGTTGCAGACTTATTTGTAGTAGTGGTAGAGTTAATTTTGTGATCGGTAGACTTACTGATGGTTCGCGCAATGGTAGACTTATTTATAGTGGTGGTAGATTTATAAAATGTGGTAGACTTATTTGTAGTAGTGGTAGAGTTAATTTTGTGATCGGTAGACTTATTTCTAGTAGTGGTAAAGTTAATTTTATGACCGGTAGATTAATTGATAGTTCGCGCAATCGTAGACTTATATAGTAGTGGTAGATTTAGGAGTGATAATACTTATTAGCAGTAGTGGTAGAGTTAATTTTGTGATTGATAGACTTATTGATGGTTCACGCAATCGTAGACTTATTTACAGTAGTGGTAGATTTATTTTTGAGTGATAGACTTATTAGTAGTTGTGGTATAGTTATTTTGTGATCGGTATACTTATTGATGGTTCGCGCTATCGTAGACTTATTTATACTAATGGTAGAGTTATAATATGTGGTAGATTTATTTATTGTCGTGGTAAATTAATTCAATCTTTTCACTTCTTTACTAACACAACCTTTAGTTGGTAGGCTTATTTATAGTAGTAGTAGATTTATGTTATAGTAGTTGTAGATTTATAATATGTGGTAGACTTATTTATAGTCGAGGTAGTGGTAGATTTATAATATGTAGACTTATTTGTAGTAGTGGTAGATTTATAAATATGTAATAGTCTTATTTATAGTAGTGGTAGAGTTATTCAATAAAAGGTAAAATCATAATTTACCGGTCATTTTCTCCACACAACCAAGCTTCTGTCAAATCCTAACAATGGCGGCCAACTACCTTTTATCTCGTTTTTACTATATTTTAACTTGTTTTCAACTGGATTTAGCCTAAAACTAGTAGATTTAACATCATATATCTCTTTTCTAACCAAAAATCAAAAGATTTCAAGTTTTTTTTTCTTATGATTTTCAATTCGGTTTTATATAAATCCGGCGGTACACCTCCGCCAAGCTCGTCTACGGTTCTTCCGCAGCTTCCACGGCCGCGGTTTCAAACAAATTTCTGATTTTTTTAAAAATATTAGAATGACATTTTCGTAATAAAAACTTTTTACTAAGGTTTATATGTCTTTTATGACCTTTGTTAAGTTTCAACCTTGTTTAAGAGTTGTTTTAGTAATTATGCCATTTTTCAAAGTTGTTCTAGTAATTTTCCCTAAATTATATGATATACTCCTTCCGTTTCTTATTATAGGATGTTTTGGAGATTTTTTTTGTTTCACATTATAAGATGTTCCCATACTTTTAGGTAGTTTTTTTGTTTCACATTATAAGATGTTCTCATACTTTTAGGTAGTTTTTAGCTTTATTGATAACTGTGTGACCAATAATCTTTTGCAGTATTTTTTTTATAGTTGGCTGAATTATTTTAGTTAATATATT